TGGATGTGAGTGTCTCACACTGACCACTAGGTACACTGGCTCATGGATCTCCAATGGGGTGCAGTTCAGCTACTGTCTGAGGCCACCCTGCAGAAGCTACAGTGAGAACCACAGTCCTCTCCTTGCTGCTTGGAGGTTGGAGACTTTGGAGCTGTCTGCACCAGGTTGCAAGTTTGCTAGGGTAAACTGCAATAGAAAAGGCCATTCATATACAAAAGCTGCTTGCTTGGAGCTTGAGTGTGTTTGTAGATTGTGTGAGGTGGAGTCTCAGGGAGGGTCTCAGGGTGTCACTAGGCTGGGGCGCGGCCAATAGTGATGGCTACCCATCAGCCATCTCTGCCTCTCTGACCACGTTCTCACTTCTTGCGCCCCAGCATACTAAACAATTATTCTTATGCATAGCTCTGCAAGCAAGCCACCCTCACTTTCCGACCCAGTGGCAGACAGTCTATCTTCTCCCCAGAAACTGGATTTCAGAGAGCTTGGGAGCTTGTCTCTCTTCGGATTGAAGAAAGCAATGCCCTCTGCCAGCCGGGATCCACCACCAGCCCGTATTTCACGTGGGCCCCCATACCTCAGTTTTTCAGCACTTGTTCCCTGAATGCGCCTTTCTCTTTCAGTCTAGTTGTAGAGCTTCCTTTCAGCCAGCTTTCCCATGGTTCTGGGTGATAGATGTTTTGTCTTTTAGTTGTAGTTTTGAAATTATTGGGTACGGCAGCAGTTTAGGTGTGTTTACCTAAGCTGCCATCTTGGATCCTCTATCATTCCACTTTTTAAAAAAGTTTTTTTTTTTTTATTTATTTTTAAAGAGAGAAATGGAAAGGGGAAAGAGAGAGACTAATCTTAAAGTAAGGACCTTTGAGAGCCCAGTTAGATGAACCAAGCATGATGTTGCAAACACTTTCTCAGCATGATTCTATCTCTGATGTTCTCTTCTTAAATAATTGAAAATTTTCTGACTGAGAAGAGCCACTCTGGCCTTGTTGTACACAAATTGATTCAAAAACTTCATATCCTCATTTATTTCATTCTAGCATAACCTCATGCAAGACTTTCATAATTTTATTAAATATGAAAGGTGGTATTGGATTTTTTTTTTAAATTATTCTATAGTTTTAAAAATGTAAAGCTTACCCTGGCTGGTGTGGCTCAGTGTTGGGCATCATCCCATGCATCAAAAGGTTGCCAGTTTGATACCCATTAGGGAACACGCCAAGGCTAGTTGTGGGCTAGATCCCCAGTAGAAGGCAGTGGATTGATGTTATATTCTCACATTGATGTTTCTCTCTATATATTCCTTGTTCTCTAAAAATCAAAAATATTATTAAATATGTAAAGCTTAATGTCTAGAAACAAGGTGAGTATTAATTTTAAAGCGTCGGCATTTTGCCAACATTCTTGGTAGAAGTCTTCTTTTGTTTTTGAAAAAAACATGTCAATGAATATATTTGCCCAATGGAAGCACCAAAATTCTATCTTCGATATTAAGTTCATAAACACCAGAAGTTTTAAAAAATTTTTGCAACTTTGTAATGTAAAATTTTAGCGTCCCTCTGACATTTGATAATGTCATCTGTGTTTAAACAAAAATATTTTATTTTTCCTTCCATTGGGCCCTAGAGAAGTGAGGAGAGTTTGATTGCAAGTTATAGGAACAACACTAAAAGCATGTACTACATGGACAAGAAAATATGTCAGGTGGGGACATCCAAAGAAAAGGGACCTGTACAGTCTCCCAGGAGGCTCATGACTTCTAGACTTCAGGAACAATATTGGCAACATCAAATTCTTTTCCACTTTGTAATTTTCCTTTGTTTCCACAAATCTGAATAAAAATCTAGAGCCTGGACTTGGCTATACTTTGGGGAATAAAGGAAGGGCCTGGGTTTTCACGATCTGAGGAAGCACAGAGAGGACAGTAGCCACCAAGGGAAGGCAGGTAAAGGACAGCAAGCAATCACTTTTAGAGTTTCCTGGGGCAGCAACTGACTGAGTCTTGAGAGATTAGCAACACTGATTATTGGAACCTATAAGCAAGCATCCCTCAGAATCCCCCAGATATAATGGGGAGAGGAATCAGGTGAAAGAGTCTGCACTGCATAGAAGCAGTTACACATAATACAGAACACTGAACTGCGAACCTGGAGCTTCCAGACCCAATTATCCTACCTTCTCTCCTATCCACTTAAAAATTGGTCACTTCCTGCCCTCATGGTTTGGCTCAGTGGATAGAGCATTAGCCTATGGACCAAAGGGTCCCATGTTTGTTCCCAGACAAGGGCACATACCTTGGTTGCAGGATCATTCCCTGGTCAGAGCCAGGCCCAGGTCAGGGAATGTGCAGGAGGCAACCAATCAATGTGTTTCTCTCACATCAGTGTTTTTCTCTGTCTTTCCCTCTTCCTTCCACTCTAAAAGATCAATGGAAAAGTATCCTTGGGTTAGGATTAACAATAACAACAACAAAAAAATCACTTCCCTGGTATAGTCTATCTTAAAGACCTTCAACTGACAATCCCTGGAGTTTGGGTATTTCACACATTTTAAGATTCACCTTGGAATGTATAAATATGTCCAATTTTGTCACTTTTTCAAAGGACTTCATTCAAAGAGCCGTTTCCCTCTACACCTGAGAGTCAGTCATAAGAACAGCAATGAAAAAAGTCTATACAATTTCTATATTTGTTAAATTTTTGTCAAATATTATGAAATCCTAAATAGGTCTTATTGATTGATTCCCAATTATCTACCTGACTTTTGGTCCTTAACAAATGCCATTAGATTAGATAAGAATGATTATACTATACCTAAATCATGATTCCCTTATATTTATTAAGTTTTGAAAATATATGATGTTTATTATATTTTAGTATACTCACCATCCACATGTAGTCAGGAAGGTTACCCCTTCTTTTCTCCACTAAAGTGCTTCTCAGCAGAAATCCTCCACATCTTTTCCAAGTCTCTAATGACAAGTTTACATTTGAAGGCACTCAGTTACCCGTTTTATCCTTATTATTGGAGCTCTCAGGTGACGATCAATAGCATGTTTTCCCCATGAATCTTGATGTTTGGCATATAACATTCTGAGATTTGTTTACCAGCATATCTTGTGACTTGAAAACTTATATAACTGAGGCTTGATTTTGGATTTTGCTCTGAAGTTTAGGATTGTTCCACCAAAATAATTAATATAAACTTCTTTTTTTTTTTTTTTTAATATATTTTATTAATTTTTTACGGAGAGAAAGGGAGAGGGATAGAGAGCCAGAAACACAGATGAGAAACATCGACCAACCATCTCTTGCACACCCCCTACCGGGGATGTTCCTGCTACAAAGGTACATGCCCTTGACTGGAATCAAACCTGGGACCCTTCAGTCTGTGGGTCGATGCTCTATCCACTGAGCCAAACTGGTTACAGCAACATAAACTTCTTAAAAGCAGAAACTAGGTCTTATTCTTTTGTTTGCTCTTTTCTGCTCACATAGGGTAGGCAGGTAGAAGAGGGACTCAGCATATGGATCATCAGGGACTGATGTTAAGGAGCTTCTCAGACTCAACCTGTAGCAACACTGCACCTGAGCAAGGGTTGGCTATGTCATACCTGGATCTAGCAAGTGGCATCCAAAGTGGTTACTTTCCTAACCTACGGTTGGCTCTGGTTAAATCCTTCACTAAGTCAACATTTACTGAGCCCTTACAATGAACGGGGCCCTCAGAGCTGAAAAAGATACAAACCTGCCATTCCATGATGTCAGAATGCAATAGGGAAAGGACATTTTCACCAATAATGACTATACAGTGTGGTTTTTGTTTTATTAGAGTCATCAAATAATAAGCCATGTTCTGGGCAAGCAAAAGCATATCAAATGTCTCTCTAGTCGCTTTCTTTTTTTCTTTACTGAAGCAAAAGCTCATGAGACAGTGAAGAACACACATTCAGTCACACCTCGGGTGGGATGCAGGCTCTACCTTTTACTAGCTCTTTAGTCTCTGTTTCCTCATGTGCAAGATGAAGGCCTCCTAGGGTGTATGAGAGGATTAAGACAACAAATGCAAAGTATCTATTTAGAATAGTGTCTTGCACAGGATGGGTAATATTATCGCATATACTTTGTGCTCTCTTAGCAAATAACTACCAGACGAAAGTATTCTTACCTATATAGGAAACATTCCTATGAGTTGTTAATAGACAAAATATCAACTTCAATATAGAATTTAAGGAAAAAAACAAATACCTCAAATATGATCTCAGCACTTACCTCAATTATCCCAGACCCAGTGTGATCAGACCACCCTGGATCAGATATAACCCCTTCCAGAAAGCAAAAATTAAAGAAACCCCAAGTACTAGGCTGCATGGAGTCTGAAATGATGCTTAATCTGAAAATAACCTTGTGTTTATTTACTTATTTCTTTATTTTAAATTACCTCTTTCATGAACAGAAATGGTTAAGGCAAATCAGAATACTTAATAGATAATGTTCCTAAAATAATGCATTGTTTTCACTGGTTTGAATAATCCAGTAATATAGTTATAGATAATACATTATGTCAAACAATGTAGATGGAAGATGGAATGCCCTGAAAAAAGATTTCAGGTAAAAAAAAGTGGCCTAAATGAAACAACTAGCAATGATCCATGAGAAAAACTTAGTTTCATGAAGTGGGAAAAAGCAAAAATACAGAATATTTCATATACTATTACTATTTCATGTAATATTTCATATATTTCATATATGGATATATAATCAAGTTAGTAAATATTGAAAGCAGGAGTTCTCTTCCTACATAATGTTTCTGTAGACCATACAGTCCAGTCAGAGCCACTGGAGCCATCAATTCTCACTTTTTCTCTTTGCCTTTCTAAGCCTTCGATTCCTACTCAGTACTTGAGGTATTTGATATTATTTGGCATCTTCAACTACTCTTCTGCCTTTGGTTATTTCTGTGCTTCAATTGCTACCATTGCTTTATGACTCTGGTGGAGGGGGCTCCTATGGTGGAGGGGGCGCTGCTGGAGGAGGGGGCGCTGCTGATGGAGGGGGTGCTGCTGGTGGAGGGGGCGCTGCTGGTGGAGGGGGCGCTGCTGGAGGAGGGGGCGCCCCTGGTGGAGGGGGCGCTGCTGGTGGAGGGGGCGCTGCTGGTGGTGGTGGCTGCGCCCCTGGTGGTGGGGGCGCCCCTGGTGGTGGGGGCGCCCCTGGTGGTGGGGGCGCCCCTGGTGGTGGGGGCGCCCCTGGTGGTGGGGGTTGCCCTGGTGGTGGGGGCTCCCCTGGTGGGAGGCCCTCCTCTGCGATTGCCTCTGATGGGACCATATCTGATGTGTGCTCTGTACTCAGTGTTGGGGATGCACCTGGGGTCTCTACTGATTCAATTGCAGCGTTAAGACTAATACAACATATTATTAATAGCAATAACATAAAAAGAAATGCAGGGAGTATGAAAACTAAAACACCAAGTTTTGGAAACTCGATCTTAAATTGAGGACTGGAACCTTCACCTACACTTAGAAATTCATCAGTTGGTTTAGTAGGAGAACCACTGTCCACACTGCCCCCACTTCCTGGGGTTCTGCAGTTAGGCGGTGCATAGCCAGCCTCACAGTGGCAGTGCCTTAAATTGTTACAGACTCCTCTCCCATCGCACATTTCTGCTGGTTTGCAGTCATACTTGAGCACAGCATGATCAGTGCAGGAGTAATCCATGCAGACTTTGTTTGGGGCACAAGCAGTGCCAGAGTGCACATCTCCCTCATCAGGGATATCAGTAATGTTATAGACATCCAAGCTCCAGCAGAAGTCACCTTCATAAGGAATCTGGATCAGTGTGTGATGGGGCTGGATGGATGGGACCCGTCTAATATTTGTACATATAATTTTCCCACAAAATATATTATCATCAAAACACTTAACATATCTTGGCATTGCCGAAGTGGGATGGCCACAGTTTCCAAACCGGTCCCCTTTGCTGTTTATTAAAATGTAACAGTTTTCTGGGGCAGACCGTGCAGCGTTCCCATATATAGCCATGCATTGATTATCAGGGTTTCTACATAGACCCCCAACACAGATGTGCAGTCTATCGCACGGTGTACCATCTTGCTTATAGGTGTCTGTGGGGCACTCTGCAGAGCTGCCATCACAATACTCTGGGAGGTCACACTCTCCTGAGGCAGAACGGCACACAAATCCCTTATTTCTCAATTGGCAACCAAAGCAGCAGAGTCCATCACTACATTCTGCACTCCCCTTCAGGCTACATGTTTGGTCACAGCACGGGTCAGTGTAACAGGCAGAACCACAGTCACACTGCTCCTCACCCTCCACCACACCATCTCCACAGTAGGAATCCCTACGCAAGCGGCCTTTGTGCCGCTGAGGGTTGTTAAATAGGCAGGCCCCTCTGTGATCCTGGAGGAACTGGTAGAAGTCGTCAGAGCTACAGTTGCTGAAGCCGCTTTCTTTAGAGATATTGTCACGCATGAGGCAGAGGTGCTTGTCTTTACAAATGCAGGCTGAGTGGTCGTGCCCAATACCCAAGTTGTGCCCAAGCTCATGGACCATGAGCGCTGCAAACAGGAGGGCATCTTCATGAGGGAAGGATTCAACAGCTGCTGCAAAACCACGGGAACAGGCACCACTGAGAAATGCCTGTCCCATACCGTGCTCAGGATGCTGTCCGACAATCATGTGGGCAACATCATGCTTCACACGATGGAGGAGCTTCTCTTGTCTCCAGCTGTTGAAATTTCCCAGTGTAACTTGCAGGTCCACGGGGACCTCAATGAGGTCCCCCTCAGTCCAAATCTCCATCCCAGCCAGCACCACCTGTGTGTTTATGCCCCTAGTGAAGCTGTTGGCCAGGGCAATGATGTCCATCACTCTCTGGACCGTCTCATTGACGTTACTGCCCCACATTTGGAATCGCTGGTTGTTGACCACAACAAACATCTCCACGTACTTGGTGAGTGACCACAAGGAGGACAGCTCCTGTAGACCGCCAGGCTTCCTGCTCCCTTGTTGTCGGCTGGCGGACACCACTGGGCTGTCTTGGGAAGTGACACTGCAGGAGACTGGAGCTTGATGGGCCATGGTGTACAACACATGTTCAAACTGTTTTGAAGAGTCCATGGGCTCAATGCCATAGGATTTTCCCTCCTTAATCAGGATGCCCCTGAGGCCTGAACAGGTGTTGACAGAAACAAAAGAACCCGGGACTCCTTCTATGTAGCCTTCATAGTGACAGCCATGTGAGATGAAAGGCATTTCTTGTCCCAGGATGCCATTGTGGTAGCTGAAGACTGGAAAGTTCTTGATAAAATAGTCTGTCTTCACTTTCAGGTGAATCAGCTGTTTCTTGCCCTGCATCGATATCATATATGATGTATTTTTCTCTGAGCCACCCCTTTCTTGAACTATCAGCCACTTGGGAATAACTATTTCATAGAAAGTATAATATACTGATCCCTGGTCACAGTACATACTTGGCAGAAAAATCACCAACAATATCACAATTCCCAAATGGATACATGAGGATCCTGGCACTGGCCCCAGCCTTAAGTCCTTCTGCTGAGCCCAAGTCTGAAACTTTATCTTACCCTTTTTCAAGGCCACTTGGTTTATCCACAGAGAGGCAGAATCTCTCACAGAGGTGGCCACTGACATGGCCTTAGTGAATTAGTTGATGGTACAGGGTCTGTGTCCATCAGCAGCAGCTTTCCCTGGCATGCTGAACCTTGGAGACTGAAATCTAATTCGTCTCCTTATGGTTGACTGCTTCCCAACTCGGTCTTTCAGAGTTTGAGGCCGTCTTTATACTCTTGCTTCCCTCTTGATCTTCGGTTGTTGCCTTAATGATTTCGTTCAAACAAATGCTTTAATGCTCCTTGTCTAAGTTCTCTTTATCCTCACAGAGACATATACTAAGTAGAAAGTCTGTAATGATTCAGCCAGTACTTTAACTCTAACAAATTATCCTCATCCTCAGTCCAGGCCACAGAACTCCCTGATATCCGTTAATCTGTTCATGCTTTGAAACCCAACATTCTGGCAAGAGGGTGGGGGGAGGGGACGGGGACTCTTGGGGGACAGATGAGCAGGACAAAGTTCTCTGTTACCCTCTACCTCTTTTCCTCTTTTCTGTTGTAATACAGGGTTACTGTTTCTCAGTCCAACCCTTCATTATCAGTATCATTTTTTGCCTTTAATTTTAAAAAAATCACATGCAGATGCTCAAATTCTCCCTCATTAGCCTTTGTTCATAAAAGATGAAGTTAGACATTTTATGTCTAAATATAAACATAATTTTTATCTTCTAAGAAGTTTTCCTAACATAGAGACATATTAAGTATTAAATGAGTTCAGTTTCACCATGGAGATAGTTTAAGTGACTAGGATCAAAGTTCATTTCTTCCCAACTGTCCCAAACATAAAAACAAGCTGATTATTAACCAAGTACCTAGATAGCATTTCATTAAGAAAATAAAAGTGAACTCAATAAGACCTTTTAAAAGATTTCTTCACTTTTGTAACTAAAATTTAACTCCAATCTCTGTACAAGTCCTCAGATTTTATCTTAATATCCTGATGTATTCAACTGTACAAATTTAAAAGGGAAAAAGGCAGGGGAAAGCCCTGTTTACAACTCTTGCCCAGTTATTTTCCTGTGCATTCTAAGATGAAGTTAAATTAAAACTCTAGATCCTTTACCTTGCAAAAATAATTTATATTAAGTCAGCTATTTAAAATATAAAATAAGGGTTGAGTATAAGTTAGATACAAAAAAATGGAAAACTACCCTATTTCAGAATGATATACCACAAGATCTCATATATGAGCATGAGCAGATCAACTCATTATACCCAATTAATATTTAAGTCCTCATATAGATGATAAAATTTATCATTAGCATCTAGCAAGAAAATTTATACTGCTATGTCACAAACTTATTTTTAAATTTTACAACAAAAAGGTGAAATGATTGCTAGCTGGATTTCTTTTTTCTTTGTAGTTCATGTAAGTGGAAAGCCTCTTAAAATTAGTAATTTAGAAATTATAAGATTTAATTGTGTCTTAGCCAAAACAGGCAGGGCAAATTAGGTTAGGTAATTTTATGGAATGAAAGAACTAAATGAATAATGAATAATGAAAGAACACCTCTACTTTTTAAATAAATAAAAATATAATTTAAATATCCAGGTTTCCATTTCCCAAATTGAAACACATTTTCTTCAATAAATAACACACACTTAAGCATTCATACACAAGATCTGATTTAAATCACTTGACTTCTTTAACCAGTAATTTTTTCAACCTGTTCTTTCTCAAATAAATACAAGAACAAAACTATTTAAGAAGTTCCTCCTATGTTTCAAACAATAAATTTCTGACAGATATTCTCCTATGCTTATACAATATGTTAGCCAGGAAGGTATACAACTTGTTTTACATCAAGCAGTTTATAACTATGGTAATGTCTAAAGGTGAATATGTATTGTGATATGTATTGGTTTTAGTAAGCAGAAGTTAGCAAATCATGTGGTAAAAACTAGAGACTCTAACCTGTCTACATAAACTGTTCTGACAATATGAACTTTCTGCAAGTTTAGGCATCAGAGACAGGCCAGAAGAGACAAGGACAATTTTTGTCTCACTTTGAGTTACAAATTTTACTTTATCAGTGAACCTGACAGGTATGTTACAGCAGTACTTGCTACTGGCCTACAAACTCACTCAACAAAGAAAACTTTGACCACCAAACAGTGGAACTCTGTCTAGGGTAGGACCCACTTTTGAGTTACAACAGCTGGAGCTGTAAGGTATAGGGTATTCACCAACTTTCAGCCTGGGGCTCATTTGGACATGTCTGGAGCCAGTGCACATTTGGGGACCAGATTAATTCATCCTGAAACAACTGCTACATGGGCAACAGCTGCTCCAAGTAAACAGAACACATCATTTGGGATACCCTTTTAGGGCATGCCCAAAACTCACCACACCCTGAAGTGGGGGAAAAATCATCCTGAGCCTTTAGAAGACACCTAAACAAATGATTTGAGAAATTAATGGTAAAGTGGGCATGCTAGAAATTTACTCTGAAGAAAAAGAAGAGTAACAAAGTATCCCTAGTGAATACTGAACCTGTGCCCTAAGATTAGAAAGACAAACTCGTCGTCATTGTTTGAGAAACAAGTGCAGTTTTTCCTGATTGCAATAAGTGATTTGTAAGACTACATTTCACTGAAAAACAGAATACAGTTCAATCCTTAATTCAATTTTTAGCTAAGTTTTATGGTCAGTAAATAAAACATTTCTCTGCCGAAACCGGTTTGGCTCAGCGGTGGAGCGTCGGTCTGCGGACTGAAAGGTCCCAGGTTCGATTCTGGTCAAGAGCATGTACATTGGTTGCGGGCACGTTCCGGTAGGGGATGTGCAAGAGGCAGCTGGTCGATGTTTCTCTCTCATCGACATTTTTAGCTCTCTATCTCTCTCCCTTCCTCTGTAAAAAAATCAATTAAAAAATATATTTAAAAAAAACAAAAACACATTTCTCTTCTGCCTTATTCTTAAATTTTGCCGTTTATTTTTTATTTATTTTTTAAATATATTTTATTGATTTTGTACAGAGAGGAAGGGAGAGAGATAGAGAGTTAGAAACATCAATGAGAGAGTCATCGATCAGCTGCCTCTTGCACACCCCCTACTGAAGATGTGCCCGCAACCAAGGTACATGCCCTTGACTGGAATGGAACCTGGGACCCTTCAGTCCCCAAGCCAACGCTCTATCCATTGAGCCAAACCGGTCCCGGCGTAAATTTTGCCATGTTTAAAAGTAATGAATACTCCTTACAGGGTATCCATTCACCTAATATTAGTGAGTCTTACCTCAAAAAATACCTAAATTACAAATTCCCCAAAGTAAAAGGGAATAAATGTAAAAAGGTAATTCTTAAAAGATACTTTGTGCAATAACCAGTTTGGCTCAGTGGATAGAGGGTTGGCATGCAGACTTAAGAGTTTCAGGAACGATTCTGGCCAAGGGCATGTACCTTGGTTGCAGGCACATCCCCAGTGTGCAGGAGGCAGCTGATCAATGTTTCTCTTTCATTGATGTTTCTAACTTTCTATCCCTCTCCCTTCTCTGTAAAAAAAAAAATATCAATAAAAAATATATATATATTTTAAAAGATACTTTATATTATTATATTTCCAGTTACATCTGTGTATGGGCCATACTAACCAAATGTCACCTAGATTATATACTCAGCAAAATGAGTTATCTCTGTGGGGTGCATTTTGATTGAAGAGAATGTGCCAGAATAAAACTGATTATCTGAGCCTACCAATCCTTTTCCTCTGCTCTGTAAATTGGTGTTTGTCTATTAGCTCTTCTTAAGAACACAGCTAAGCTTCTAAAAACATTTTTTTAAACATGACTTGTTATGGAAGTCCATTTGACAAAAAGACAAACAGAAAAGCATCCAGCCTTGATTTCCATTCAAACAGCTGAACTTGGCCAGAAGCATGCTTCCTGGTAATGAAGGCAGCAGAACAAAATAAATGCAGCCCAGAGGATGCTGACATGAAACCTAGGCAGAAACATTACAAAAAAAAAGGGCAGCTTTAATAGGAAAAAACCTGGACCATATTAGATGCTAATCCAAAAGTCCACTTTTCATGAAATGTAACTTTCTCAGGAAATCACCCCGTAAGTGGACCAGAAGAACAGGGAAGGGACGTAAGAAGCAATGGAGTTGGTGAGGGCTTCCAGGAAGGAGAGATGACAAAGTAGGGTCTTAGAGGAAGGAAAACTGAAATTTTGATTAAACATAAAAAGAATAAACTCAAAAGAGAATCCATTAGATTTAAGAATCACACTAATTCCTTTTAACAAATATGAGCAATAAAAAAAAGAAAATGCTACCACTTATTTCTTAGGAATTAAGGACAACAAAAATGAAGGCTCAGCTCTCTGCCTCTCCCATCATGGGAGCCAGCATCTTGTGAGTTTCAGCAGACAGTCTGCAACATCGATCCACAAACATTTCTTGGCATGAGGGCTTATCTACCAATAGTGCAGAAAGTAAATACACCAGGCAATTAAAACCAAATTCCACAGTATTTGATTCAACCGTTTACTAAGCAGAAAGATCAGTATAGTTGGTCCTTTGTCTATCGCTAACAAGTGGTTTTTATGTACTTTATTACAAATAAAACAATCTTGCTTGATATAATATCTTTCATCTTATAAACATGACTAAGCAGTCCTAAAATAATGTATATCTCTAGGAACTAAGTTTTCTTAAAAACAAACAAATGAACTATTCTATTAGTAAATACCATATCTAAATCTATACAGCATCTTTAAGCAATGTGAAAATGAAATTATGATTTATTAATTTACATAAAAATTACTTTATACATTGAAGAATAGTTTTTCAGGTTGTAAAAAAACAAAGTTTGAAGCTGTCATTATTGGGATTCATGGGACATGGTTTGTTCCTCTATCACTTGCTTCACAATTTCTGCCAGTTTTAGTCGATCTACTTTATCTGTGAATCCACGACCTGAAACCCAAGAAAGAAAAAGATCAATCTCCAAACTATTTGGGAGGAGACAGTTTCTTGACAGGAACCCAGTAAGGTACACCTTATTAGTATCCAATTCATCTTCACCAATGGAGGAACCATACCCAACACTGATCAAAAGCAGTTCAGATCCCTCCATTTTGCAAGTAGTAATTGAGCAGTTCCATTAAGCTGGCAGTAACAATCCAATGTTCACTACAATAGCAAACAAGGAAACTATGAAGTAAAAGATATTTGTAATATATATGTCTGACAAAGGACTCGTATCAAGAATATATAAAGAACTCATACGTCCATAAGAAAGATATAATACAACCAAAAAACTAGCAAAAGAAGAGGTACTTCACAAAAGAGGAATACTAAATAGCCAATAAACATCTTTAAAGTGCTAAAATTCATTAGGGAAAAGCAAAGCAAAATGATACTGTAATAACACTATAATCTATCCAGAATGACTAAAATAAATGGAAAGACAGACAAGAGTTGATGTGGAAGTAGGGTACGTAGAACCCTCAAACACTGCTAGTGGAAGTATCAACCACAATAACCACTTCGGAAAACTCTCAGCAGTACCCTCTAAAGCCACAGATGAATACCTCCGTGAACCAGCAATTCAATGCTAGATATATGATGTAAGAGAGATCAGTTTATCAGAACATTCTTCAAAAGATAATACACAAGAGCTTTCACAGCAGCCCTTTTCTTAATTACCAACACTTGAAAATAACTCAAATGTCCAAAAGTAGACTACACACACACACAGAGGGGTGGGCAAAAGTAGGTTAAATTACCAGCCACCAAAAGTAAGGATACAAAAAAAAAAGAAGAAAAATGCAAATACATAATACAAACAATAAATAATAAAAGAATAAACTTTTGCATACTAACAACTTTAAACCTACTTTTGCCCATCCATGTGTTTGTGTGTGTGGTGAGAGAGAAAGAGAGAGAAAAACATATATTGAGAATATAAATGTATATATAGAGAATGAGAATGATCTGCTATACACAAGGCTGAATCTCACAAATATAATGTTAACTAAAAGAAGCCAGACACAAAAGAACATAGACTTGTCTGATTCTACTTATATAAAATACAAATCAATAGTGCTATCAGGGGGGCAATGGTAAGATATGTACACAGATAATAATTTTTTTAAAAAAATAGCAGCCGAAACCAGTTTGGCTCAGTGGATAGAGCATCAGACTGAGAGGTCCTAGGTTTGATTCCGGTCAATGGCATGTACATTGGTGCGGGCATATCCCCAGTAGGGGGTGTGCAGGAGTAGCTGGTCGATGTTCCTCTCTCATCGATGTTTCTAGCTCTCTATCCCTTTCCCTTCCTCACTGTAAAAAATCAATAAAATATATTTTAAAAAAAGAAAGAAAGAAAGAAAGGGAGGGAGAGAGGGAGGGAGGGAGGGAGGGAGGGAGGGAGGGAGGAAGGAAGAAAGAAAGAAAGAAAAAAATATTAAAAAAAAAATGGCGCTATCAATCAGGATTGTGATAACCCTTGGGGGTGGGAGGTAGTGACTAGAAGAGAGTCCATGTTCCACTACATGTTCTAAGGGTTAATTATAGGGAATGTTCACTTTGTAAAAATTCATCAACAGGCCCTAACCAGTTTGGCTCAGTGGACAGAGTGTCGACCTGCAGACTGAAGAGTCCCAGGTTCGATTCCGGTCAAGAGCATGTACCTTGGTTGCGGGCACATCCCCAGTAGGGAGTGGGCAAGAGGCAGCTGATCAATTTTTCTCTCTCATCGATGTTTCTGTCTATCCCTCTCCCTTCCTCTCTGTAAAAAATCAATTAATTTTTTTTTTAAATCATCAACAGTACACACTTCAAATGTGATAACTTTTCTGTATTGATATTTCAAAATCTTTTTTAAAACATACCAGGGAAGCTAATTTCTTCCAGGCTATTGCTCTGGATTTCTCTTGTCCAAAAACAAAGCCAGACCCTAGCTGGTTTGGCTCAGTGGATAGAGTGTTGGCCCCCAAATTGAAGGGCCCCAGGTTTGATTCCAGTCAAGGGGACATATCTGGGCTACAGGTTCGATCCCTGACCCTGATTAGGAGTGTAAGGGAGGCAATCAATCTATATGTCTCTCTTACATCGATGTTTTCTCTGTCTCTCCCATCTCATCTACTCTCTCTAAAAATCAATGGAAAAATACCCTCCGGTGAAAATTAACAACAATAAAAAAAATAGCTCCAGGTAGGCCCCCAAAGATTCCTACATGTCCTAAACAATCACTTCACTGTATTCCTGGGGAAAGAAGTAATTAAGGCTCCTACCATTCCAGCTGAAGCTTTGCAGAGTATCTCTCAGGAGTTTGCATTCCCGGTTATACTTCCAAGCCTCTTGCATTACTTCATTCAGCTTTTCATCTTCATTCTCGCCTATTGATAAAGATGAAGAAGTTGCATTTCCCTGCAGCATTATGGGATTTTAGTGTCAGAGATGGAAGGACATGATGTTTAACTTGTTGAAAATTGATGACTAAAGGTACCAACTTCACCAGACATTGCCATTCCTGCTAATCTCTACATGACATATAGACCACTTCTGGTCTTTGAATTCCTCCCACAAATCCTCTGATGGCCCGAGTCTTTGCACTGGGGGACGGGAATAGGCAGTGTCAGACTATTACTCAGCAAAAACAGCTTAGGTCTCTGGTTAACCTAATAGATAAGAGATATAGAGGAAGAACAAGGCTGAGCAGGCTACCTTCTTTCTCCTAAGCTCATTTCTTACTTTGGAAGGCTATTGGAGGTACACTAAATATGAGTTCTCTTAAAATGCAAGAACTATGAAGACAGGTCAACCCAACAGTTTTCTGACCTACTACTTGAATGATCTCTTTCATTTTCTGAGAAAAGCCCATTATACCCCAATGAATGGGGAAATAACATTGAAAGCAAACTCTCACTCAAAAGAAACCACATATAAGTCACACACTACCCATTACATGAGTAGCAGCAGAGTCCACTTCAGAACTGGGGGCGTATTCTCTTTATAGTCACAAGTTAATAAAGCCTTGAACTCCTAACAGCTCTGGAAATGACGTCTCCTGACGTCTTCTCAAACAGCTTGACCCTGTCCACATTTTCCATTCTCCAACACATGCCCTCATTAACAAAACAAAAAAAATATAAAATTACATGCTGTACCTTAAACCTAAATTACAAATGTCACAAAAAAACAAAAACAAAGAAAAAGTAGAACTTACTCTAACCCACCATCCACTCTTGAATAAATAAAGACTGATTTATATAATGTACTTACTTTCTTATACACAAAGATGAAACATACATCCTCAAATTAAATCACTCCTTTTATCATGTGCATGCAGACACATGTACACACACACACAAACACACACACACACACACACACAGCATTTGTAAATGATGTGACCTTTACCAGCCTGGGGGAGAATACATTGAGCAATCACATCTCGGAGCTTTTCCAAGGCAACATTTGAGTCCTCGGTTCCATTTTCACGGTCGTGGATATAAACACCATCCTTTGGCTTGGTGCTTTAAAAGTTTGGGGGAGAGATAATAACAAGGTAAGACCCAAAAACCTAACACTCAACAGATGTTAACTCTAAACATAATTTTTCAGAAAATTAACTATACAGCATCTCCAACTTTTGATGCTATTTAAAAACAGCTTATTCTTCCTTCTTAAGAGGCAGCTCACTGATTGAGCATCAACCTATGAACCAGGAAGTCACAGTCTGATTCCTGGTCAGAGCACATGCCCAGGATGCGGGCTCAATCTCCAGTAGGGGGTTTGCAAGAGGCAGCTATCAATGATTCTCATCACTGATGTTTCTCTCTCTCTCTCTCCTTCTCCCTTTCTCTCTGAAATCAATTAAAAAAAAATTTTTTTTTAAAGGCAGAAAATGGGCCACCCAACCATGAACAAGAATAGGTGAAATAAGTTCAGTTACCCAAGTAATTTCCTCTTCCTCAGAATAGGGTTGTTCACAGAATGCAAGGGTTTGAGGCTGACTTTCGGATCCTGGATTCGCATGTTGGCCAACTGTTCCGCATGAGCCTGCTGGATTCCTGCAACCACCGCCTGAATGCAAACACTGTTGTCAGTTTTTCATATTAATTTCTGAGTACCTAGAAAGCCGATCTAAGAGCATGGGAAGGAGCTCAAAGAATTAAGAAGGCAATTTCACTATTATGCTGGATGTATACAAATTCTGATAAAGGAAAGATTCTTCCCCATGGATCAGCAGGGCCCAGAAGAAATACTACCAAGGCTCATGCTCACAGTCATTGGCAAGGACAAGTATAAAGAGAGGCATACGTGTACATCAGAGAAAAGGCTGGCAAGCCCGAGAAGCCTTCCAAAGTGTAGACGGGCACCTCAGCCCCTGATGGCTCAGAACCCTGAGTGTGGTAGACACTCGAGCACTGGTCTATACTCAAGTCAATTAATTTATAATGAGAAATAACTCACGAAGTGTAGAACTTGAAATCTGTGTCTTTATGACCAATGCTTGTTCTCATTACAGGCAGACCAATGAAGGAAGGCAAATACTGAGCAGAAAGTTTTGTAAGAACAAGATGATCCTTTTTTTTTTTTTTTTTTTTGGTATTTTTTTAAAAAAGGACAAATTCCTGTGTGTGTGAGGGTCTCCCCAGAAAAACATCAAGAAGGATACATCATACCATGGGTTAGCTCGCTTTTGAGGGATAAGAGTAAGGCAAGGAAATGAAAGGGAATTTTTGCTTTTTATTTTATATATCTCTGCACTGTTTGAATTTCAACAATAAATTCTGACAATTTAAAAAAGCAGTTCAAAAACAAACAAGAAAGCAGTTCCTTATTAAGCATGCTTTTAGAGCTGGAAGATTTACAGGGACTGTAACAGCTAGCCCTGGCTACGTCCCTCTGGACCCTCATATCTATCTCTTCATCAGTGATGGCCCAACCAGAAAGATGGGAATAATTCAAGGGCACAAGTTCAGGCTCTATCTCCTAGCCAGGGCTTAGATGGACACTATTCAACATCTGAATATGTGGCCATTTTTCCAAGATTGACCTACCCACATCATGACCACATCATTCTTTAACAACAGGAATACACTGTCACGTTGAAGTTCCATCTTATAGGCCTATGAGCTACTCTTTCTCATTAAGAAGATTCTGCAAATCCATACTTTGCTTAATTATGCACTGATTTTAAAGTAACTACAGATGCATTTATTTCTTCATGTCCAAGCTTTTGAAGAAAGCTACATTGAAACCTCATGTACTGACAAACAGAGGATACAAATAATCCCTTTGGATTTAGACTGACCAAACCATTTTTATACTTCTGGACACAAATCTGAGATGGCAGAGAATTCTTTTCCTTCCTGCTCTCCTTTCTCTCCCATAAACTAAGCGAGGTCTTAGCATTCTCTTTTCCTATTCATTCATTCTATGTCACACTTCAACCCCCTCCCTTTTAAGAAGGTAGCTTGGCCTGTTTGCCACTGCCTTTGTCTCTCAGTCACACTCTGTTTCCAGACCACAAATCTCATTTGAGTGTCCACCTACCACTTGAAACAATATCTAAAACCTAAACTATTTCCCTTCACTCAAACTAGCTTCATTCTTGAGTTTCCTCTATTTGTCGATGGTACCACCTGATGTGCCACCCAACAGTTCCCTTATATCTAGTCAGTTACCAAAAATTGTAGAAAATTATATTTAAAAGTATTAAGCCTATTCATTCATCTCTACTTCTCTGCTCTCAGAGCCGCCCCTCATATTCTAAATTACCACACAAGTCTAGGTTGGCGAGTTTGCAATTCTTGTAATCCATTCCTAAACACCTTCCCTATGCAAACATCTTTTCAAATATCTCAACTACATCCTAGTAAGATAAGACTAGCCTGGCCATTGTAGCTCAGTGATTGAGCATCAATCCATGTACCAGGAGGTCACTGGTTCAATTTCAGGTCAAGGCAAAATGCCCAGGTTGCAGGTTTGATCCCCAGTAAGGGGTGTACGAGAGCCTTGACCTGGAATTGAACCAATGACCTTCTGTTTCATCATTGATGTTTCCTCTCTCCCTCTCGCTCCCTCCCTCTCTGATAACAAAAACATACATTTTTTAAAAGATAAGACTTGCTACTTTCAAAGCTTGCCCTGTCACAACGTATCTCACTGACTTCCCATTCATGAAGTTAGGTTGTTTTTCCCACTGATGATCATAGGGAGGATATTCCTTTAAGTGGATTGCTCCCTTAGTGTATATTTGCCAGGCCTTGATCTGGGTCTTTATGGGAAGCTCTTTATTTTCAACCTTGATTTTCAGGAAACCAGAGATGTTTCTCTGAAAAAGACTGCATGCTCTACATTGTTTTGCCTTTAACCCCTCACTAAGTCGAGTTCCCAACATTCCTTCTCAACTCAACCTTATCTGCCAACAAAATAAGTATCATTCAAAACCTTATGCATGGAGAGTGGGGACAGCCTGGGAGAGGTCAATGGGGAAAAAAGGAGACTTAAGTAATACTTTAAAGAATTTAAATTTATAAACAAAAAAAAAGACACCTTATCCATCATCACTTGAGCAGAGGGTAGAACGTTATCCAGGGCCTCAGTCGAGTTTAGCCAGGGGTGGTCCAACACTCCCTCAATGGTGAGTCTTTCCTCTGGTTTGACCTTCAAGAGCCTGTGGAGAAAAGGCCAACAGGGCTGCCATGTACAGTTGCTTCCAGACAGTAAGTTCTGGGATCTGCTACTAACCAGCTCTAGTGTCTGACTTTCTTCCAACTCCTACAAGCTTAGACTTTCCATCTGTAGAGCTGGGGTGGGGTTCTAGTCCCTAACCACTAGCTGTGAGGGCTGTGTCCTTCCCATCTGTACAAAGTGAGGTAAGGGTGGTAGGAAAAAACTTAACCTAGAGATACTCCAGCCCAGTAATTAATCCAGTATGTAGGATTAATGAAATAATCCTACATATTGCTCATAGTTTCTAAGACCCTGAATCTCCATATTGATGTTTTTAGGGTAGTGAGCTCTAATTCCCAAAATGGCCTGAGAGTGCTCTTTTGGCTAATAGTGGCTACAAAGTTAGTTGAAGGGTCAGGAAGTTTTGAAAACTCAGGTTACTACTTGTGGTGAGATCTCGGATGTTACCATATGGTAGGACATGAACTTTTTATTCCAGAGACATTCTAAAGCAAAATTCCTAGAGACTCTGAGAAGGGGATGGCATTTCTTTATGAGCCTTGTTATTGCTCTGATCTGACTTCTTTATATCTTATGTATTCATGCTGATGCAATTCCTAGCTCACTCCAGCATGCTCCTTCCAACTACATATCCTCTCATTCCAAATGTCAGAGTCAAGACAACATGCCTATTTGCTCTTTTATTCTGGATCATTCTGAACAAACAGCTTCAGATTCTAAAGAAAGGATTCATGTTGCTCTAGTGATATTCTATAGAACTGACAAAGAACAATTTAGAGGATACTGATATTTTGGTTAAGTAGTTGAAAAGACAGCATGGGAAGACAGATTGTGATTTAATTGCCTCTATCCTCCTAAAAAACTTTTGCTTATATGTTTTAGAAACTAGCCCCTCTTTAGATACACAGACCCCCTAGTCAACAGAACAAGCTCACTTATGAAATTTCCACAGAGAAAGGATTGTACTATCAGGAGACAGTTCCCAGATACTGCCCCTTTAATGCTTATCTTGATCACACTACAGATGAAGAAACTGAAACCAAAAAAGGAAAAATTGCTCAGTGAAACCAAGCAATAGGAATACTGGAACATTGCCCAAGACTCAGGCAGCTAAGCCTCCCACATTCACTCAACTTTAGGTCTGACTACTTACCTAACCCTCCAGCTACCAAAGAGCTCTGAAGGTCAACTGTCCCTCATCTACTTATTAGCCCTAATTCTTCTAACTCTTCCCATCTTCATATATGTCAGAAGGCCGGAGGGTGGGGTCCAGGCCCCACACCATCAATCACATACTCCCACAGCAGCCAAGAAATGAAAAGTCAAAAGCATTGTTATCATCTTAATAACCCAATTCATGCCTAACGTCCATCCCAAATGATTGGCTTACGGATAAGATGGTACAAAGGGGTCAGGGAGTAGAGATTATCACTTAAGGCCCTGAATTAATGCTCACAGAGACATTGGCTACTGAAGGACCTAGGGTTCACAATCCCAGGGATAAATTCTAGGAATGCTACAGGAGGGCGCAAAGCTCTATTTCCACTGAGGGGTGGACGCTGAGAACCCTGATCTCAGGCTCCAGGGGTAAGGTTTCTGTGATGCTAAATAGGAATGAACATGCCTAAGAAACAAATGACTTTTCTCTACCCAACATTCCCTTGTGTTGTGCCACCTTACGGCTTACTTGGTCTCCCTGCCCAGTGGCCCAGGGACTCACTTCCTCACAACATCTTTGGCCATCTCTGAGATCTGGCTCCACTCTTCCTCTGGGAACTCAAAACTGCCGGTCATGATCTTTCTCCGCATGTCCTTTGGGATAGTCCGACTGTGATGTTTGGAGTAGAAAGGAGGATATCCGCACAACATCACGTAGATAATCACTCCTAAGGACCACAAGTCACAGCTCTGAAAGCAAAGAGAAAATGGTCACTTTTAGCAGAGGCACAGCTCCAAATAAAGCCTCCGTGGCTGGCCTGGACATACACAGGCTGATCTATCCAAGAATCACTTAACAGAGACTGGAAAAGTTTCAGGAAGTCTAACTTTTTACTCCATTTTTAAAAAAATATATATTTTAATTGATTTCAGAGAGGAAGGGAGAAGAGAAAAACAACAATGATGAGAATCACTGATCAGCTACCTCCTGCATGCCCCACACTGAAAATCCAGCTCACAACCTAATGTGCCCTTGACCGGAATTGAACCTGGGACCCTTCAGTCCTCAGGCCGACACTATCCACTGAGCCAAACCGGCTAGGGCTTCACTCCATATTTATTATGTGCCACATACACTACATAGACACACATTAGCATCTCTCATCATTGATGATTCTCTCTCCCTCTCCTTTCCCCTCTCTGAAATCAATAAAAGCATATTTTATAAATAAAAAGCATTCATTCCTTTGGCCCTGGCCAGTGTGGTTCAGTTGTCCTGTGCACTGGAAGGTCACCGGTTCGATTCCCAATCAGGGCACATATCTAGGTTGCAAATTCAATTCCTAGTCAGGCCATATACAAGAAGTAATTGATCAATGTATCTCATATCCATCTTTTTTTCTTTCCTTTTCTTTTCTCTTTTCCTTCCCCTCCCCCTCCCCCTCTCTATCTATCTCTCTCTCTCCCTCATTAAAATTAAAAAATAAATAAAATAAACAAAGGCATTTCTTTGGTCAGAAAGGACTCATTGTGCCTGCTCCCCTATCCTACCCCCATTTTCACTCTTCACCTAAGGACATATTTTTATTGACTTTGCAAAGAGAGGAAGGGAGAGGGAGACAGAAACATCCATCGGCTTTGCCTCCAACATGTGCCCCTAGCAGAGTTTGAATCTGCAACCCTTCAGCGCATGGGATGATGCTCCCATGGGCCAAGCCTGCTTCTCTCTCTCTCTCTTTTTTTTTTTAAATTAAGGTTGATGTATTTAATTTTCAAAAATTTAATTATAACTTATTACATATTTTTATTAAAAATGAGTTGTAGCATTCAGTGTTCATTTAGTTGCCCAATATAAAGTTTATATTTAGACCAACATTTAAACACATACAAAAGTAACATGAATTGTTTTTTTCAACATGTTACTCATCTGCAGTGTAATTTTGATGAATGCCATACTAATTCATGAGCACCATTAGGTTCACAAATAGAACAGCAAGAGAAGAAAATACTGGAAAATTACATCATGCAAGAAATTCATTGTATTCATTGCTAAGATTTTAGCAAGTAAATTTAAAGACAACCTTGTCTTTTAAATATGGCCACTGGATTATACAAGTAGCCAAATATATAACCTATAGACAACCACAGCCCTTGGCTCCTGCTGCAAAGCCTAAATCGATAAGAACCTTACTTTATATTTCATCAGACAAAAACTTGAATTCCAAGTACTCTTCTGCTTGGGTGGCTGCTTCCAGCCTTTCGCACAGGAAGATTAAGGGATAAGAATGGAATGAACCACGTTCCCAGAGGGCCACAACCAGCTCACTGAAAAGGGGCTACCCAGAAGGTGAAGAAAAATAGCTCTTCCCCTACCTTGTTGTAAGTGTAGGGTGTCGGTGAGGTAGGTATGATGCCAAATTTCTCCTTTTGATGCCTTCTCTGTGCCTCTAGTACCTGTCAGAGCCAGGCCAAAGGGAACAGTTTACTGAAAATCACACCAATGACACACAACTTGAGAGACTCCTGGAAGGCTAAAAAGGGTCCACGCTGGCAGTCAACAATCAAAAAAAAAAAACTCCACACACACACAGTACTTTCAAAAACCCTTCCCGGCCCCCCTCTTATCACCAGCAATTTGTCAGTGTTTGCCCAGGTCAAGAACATTAAGATTGGGTCCCTGGAGGAGATTTATCTCTTCTTCCAGCCTATCAGGCATCTGAGATCACTTTTTCCTAGGGACATCTCTCATGCCTGTGTAAAAGCATGATGCTACATGTAACATGGAAGAATTTCAAAAATATACTGAGTAAAAGGAAAACACAAAATATACATAAGTTCTATTTTTATGAAATTCTATAACAAACAAAACTAACCAATAATAACAGAAAGCATGCCAGTGGTTGCCTGGGGCTAGGAATTAAGTTGGGAGCAAATTGACTGGAAAGGCACGCAGGGCAGCTTTGGAAGTGATGGAAACATTTTATAACTTGATTGTGATGCTGATCATGCAGGAGTATCCATTTGTCAAAACTCATCAAACTATATATAAAGTAGGAGTATTTTTATATAAATCATACCTCAATAAAGTTGATTCCAAAAGAATAAAATACCTACATCAAATTAAATTGAAGGTTTCTGAAACTGAGTACTCCCCCTCCCATTTGTAACGCACACCTCCAAGTGCTGTGGAGTAGAAATGTGAGTGCACAGGCAGCTTGGTGGCACAGCCAGTGGCAGAAACAGAACATGCTTACCTGAGGTGCTACATAATAAGGGGTGAACTGGGGTGTCATCAAGTCACCTTGGTCAATTTTGGCAAATCCAAAATCACACAACTTCACTGGGGCATCCTGAAATAAAATAAATGAAGTCACTGCTCCGGAGTTCTCGGTAAACATTAGAGGGAAATCCAGGTACAAAGTATGTTACCTTCAGCTCTCACAAGTTTCCAGTTGAGACCTGAGTATATGAGTGGTCTGGAGACAATGATTCATATTGTGGAATTGTTCTTAGTAATACAAAGTAATCAATTTCTACCGACTCACAGTTAGCCTTGTTTTATAACTTATAAAGTCAGCATTAAATCAAAATCTTGCCGAAACAGGTTTGGCTCAGTGGATAGAGCATCGGCCTGCGGACTGAGTCCCAGGTTCTATTTCGGTTAAGGGCATGTACTTTGGCTGCGGGCACATCCCTGGTAGGGGGTGTGGAAGAGGCAGCTGGTTGATGTTTCTTTCTCATCGACGTTTCTAGCTTTCTATCCCTCTTCCTTTCTCTCTGTAAAAATCAATAAAATATTTATTTATTTTTTTAAATCTTACTCAAAAGCTCCCTGGCTCTATAGATTGGCCCATCACTTCTCACCAACATCAATTTCATTGGTAGCCAGAGTAACTTATTTGATGGGACATGGTGTAGGTGTCAGAGGATAGGGTTGGAGAGAAAAACACCTTATCAGGGTTAATAGCAAATACAACTGTTAAGTTTTAAGGTAATATATAACAACATAGAGATTCTGGCCCCTTGCCTAAGTCCCCCCAAATAATATCCAAAATCTTAAGTCCTACAAATATATATACAAAATCTTAAGTCATACAAAAATTATCCATGCGAGGGGTATTTCTCTGGACTTCCAGCAAGGAAACAAGTAGGAAAAATTAGCTGCCTAAAGCCTCTTCATTATGGGTTCAGAACACTTCAAACATTACATGCACACCTCCATGCCCACTTCTGAACTATGCTGTGAATGGCAGCACTAAATGCAGAAAAGCAAGGCATCTTACCAAAGAGTTATCCTTGAAGAGCAGATTCTCAGGCTTGAGGTCTCTGTGTGCGATGTTTAACAAGTGACAGTGCTGTAGAGCCAGAGCTATCTGGAAAAGGACATAATAGCAACCACATCTTAGAAGAATTAACTCTTTACTGCTCCTAGTTTAGAGAACTCAGGATATTAAAAAATGATCTTTAACTAAGACCATTAAGACTATGGTCGGTCTTCAATTTTAAAGCAGAAATTAAATAAAACATTTGGTACCAAGAAATAGAAATGAATTTCGTTTACCTGCAACGTGTATTTTGTTAAGCAAAAAGAAAAAAATACAATAGTAAAATGATTCTTTATCAGAATAAACTGTGATGGTAAGTCCTGTACGCAATGAGGGAAATGAAATGTTTCCACTTGCATTCATCTGCAATGTGACAAGCACTGCGGAGTGAACACTGGCGGACAGCAGGCTGCTCTCCCCCCGCAGGGCAGCGCACGGACACGTGGCTCAGAAAGAGCTGCACTCCCCAGGGAGCTCAACTTCCAAGCTCTGCCTTCAAGAACAATGGGAAGCAGCTAGCTGGATTTTTCCACTTGATATTCCAATGTGCTCATCCCACTTGGGGAATGTGCCCTGTTTTGGTAGATGTGAAGGGGTTTTGTTTGACAGAAGATTATCAGAGCTCACCCTTTAGTCCTAATATTTGAAAAATACAAGGTATAATTTTTAAAATTAAATAGCAAGAGCAAATTCTACCTTTTCTTCAACTCTCAGTATGGAAATGTCTTAGCATTCCAAGTATCAGCTCCACCGCACCACAAAGAAGGCATCAAAAATTGCTCATGAAAAATTTCGAGCCGAAACCGGTTTGGTTCAGTGGATAGAGCATCGGCCTGTGGACTGAAAGGTCCCAGGTTTGATTCCGGTCAAGGATATGTACCATTGGTTGCGGGCACATCCCCGATGGGGGGTGTGCAGGAGGCAGCTGGTCAATGTTTCTCTCTCATTGATGTTTCTAGCTCTCTATCCCTTTCCCTTCCTCTCTGTAAAAATTAATGAAATTTTTTTTTAAATTTTTTTCGAAGGATTTTTAAAATTAAGAACCAATTGTGCTAGGCTTTCTGCTTTTCTTTGCCTTGCTTGCTTGACATGAAGATTAGCTTTGAGGGTTTAGCTTTTGATCTCCTCAAGATGTTATTTCCAGTTGGTTTCCTAGTATTGTTTGTGACATAAATTATTCCTCTAACAATGAAATGTGTTATCAAGCAAGCCCTAGCTTGTGTAGCTCAGTAGTTAGAGCATCGGCACATGGACTAAAGGGTCATGGGTTCAATTCCAGTCAACGGTACATACCTTAGTTGCAGGTTTGATCCCCGGCCCCAGCCCTCTGTCGGGGCCAGTGCAACCAATCGATGTCTCTCTCACATCAATATTTCTGTCTCTGTCTCTCCCCCTCCCTTCCACTCTCTCTAAAAATCAATGGGAAAAATATCCTCTGGTGAGGACTAATTTTTTAAAATGGCATCAAAATAGAGAGACTGTAACCAGAATAACCCAGAATTATAGAGACCTTATAATACTACTAAAATCTGAAGAGAGAAAGGTGACTCATAAGCAAAAGTTATCTTATTGTCAGAACATATTTTCACACGGTACTATCTTTTAAGTGGTATCAGCAACGTTTTATCTCAAAGTTCAAAAACAGTGCTTGAAAGCCATGTCCAAAGATATCTACAATCTACAAGAGTTAAGATTACCTTCCTTCCAGAGTTTATTTACATCTAAGAATAGACAATTGACAACCACTTAAGAATACAGTCCCCCCCCTTCAAAGCATAAAAGGTATCACATTTCTCCTGTCAAAGCATCTTTTTTCTGATCACATAACAAAGCAGGCAATGAGAGAGTAAATAGAGCTTTTCTGCAAGCTTTCTTTTATTCCCCCCAATGAAATTGTGCTTGTTAACCAACATTGTTGGCAGTTTGATTTGTACCCGGGGTTAACTTGCCTGCTTTGTTACTTGGCTGGCTTGCTTCTCTGTAAAGTGCCGGTGCTGGCTGATTCTGTGAAATAGCTCTCCCCCTTCCATCATCTCCATTACAATTAAGAGTCGAGCCCTGTTTGAAAGCATTTGATTTTGTTAAGTTAAAAAAAAAGAACTTAAACATCAAGTAGCTAATCTAAAGAGATACCTCATCTACAAAGTGTGTCATTTACTTCCTAAGTCTAGTCCTACCAAGCCCCTTGGAGTATCCACTACCAAATGGACACTGTGCATAAGGAATATTCCTGACCTGACACTTTCTAAGAAGCTGAGAGTAAAAGATTTACTTTTGAAAATAATGTTCCCTTTGAGAACATTACACTTAAGTGACATGTTTTGCATAGGCATTTTAGGGCAGCTAGAATGAAAATATATTGAAAACAGACTATGACTGTGTAGGACATGAATTTCAAGTCATTTGGCTGGGTACTGAGCTATCTTGGTTTTTCATTCTGTGTGTGTGTGTGTATCTACTCTCCTCCTCCCCCCACTTCACTAGTTTTTTCATGTCATCTAGAGGATACCCAGCAAGATAGCTGGAAAAGGTTACACAATTACTAAATAAAAGCAAAAATTCTCATGTTATAAATAAAATTTTTGAATTTTGGTTACCATCCTTTGATATAAATGTTTCCAGCTTCCATCCAAATGCTTTCACCAACAGAGCACAGTTGTAAGAAATAATCATTCATTTCCCATTTGTTTTTACAAATCCACCTTCTCTCTCCACCTGGAAAACTTCTTCCTATCCCCTTCAAGTCTTAGTTCCCACGTAACAGCCTTGTGAGACAACTCACCTCCCCAGCAACTCTCCTTTGTAAACTCGAAGTATTTTATGGATGCCTCTCCTTGGTGCCTATCGCACTGCTATGATGGCAGATTTAGAGCTCATTCCCTCCAACAGAAAACAAACCTTATTTTAATTTTAAGTTTCCAGGAAGAGACTTAGAACACCATTCAATGGGCTTGCCAAACATTTGGCAGCTAAAAGAATGATGTTGGTTTCTTCCTTTAAAGGAATATCAGACTAAGCAATAAGGACTTTTTGCCATATCAGCCTCTAAAACATTGTCTAGAATAATATTTGGTTCCCTTTTGCTAATTTGAAATAGAATTTGTTTTAATTCCACATTACTTGCTTTTTTTTAAAAAAAAAAAAAAAAAAAGAGAGAGAGAGAGAGAGAGAGAGAGAGAGAAGATTATCACAATAATCAGAGGGGCCAGGAGAGTAGTAGGGTATAGAGGAAACAAGACTGGCAATGAGTTCATCACTGCGGAAGCTGGGTGATGGGAACCTGGGGATTCATTACATAATTCTGTCTGCTTTCACAAATGTTTGAAATTTTCCAAAACAAAATGTAGAGAAGAATGAGAAAGAGGAGGGAGGCAGACGGGGAGGAAGAAAGGAGTGAAAGGAGAAGAGAGAGGGGGGCACAAAAGAGAAAAACCCACTGCACCTTGGCCTACGTATGGAAAGGTGGGCATAGTATGATCACCCTGTGTAGTCTTACCTGGGGCTGGACTCATGAGGAAACTGTACACTGTTAGCAAACACTTCGATAATTTGAACTATGTTTGGGTGTGTGGCACACATCATGTGCAGGCGTACCTTAAAGAGAAGAGAGGAAATGTTTCTGTCCATAGGAGAGGCCAACATCTTCTCTCCCAACACCCCCAGGAAAAACTGACATTAGGCACAAGAGGCTAAGCCTATTACAGTAAAAAACCTTGTCGCCTACAATAATGTACAAAACAAGGGGAGTGCACACAGATTACCTCCTTGATGGATTCTATGAATGAAACCTCAACAACAGATTATTTGCTCCAGTTCTATCCATTAGCAAATGAATTAGCAAATAATTTCTTTTCTTTCAGATATTTTTCATACATTTATAAGCAAAAGAGTGAGTCTTTCACTGCACTTATTAACATGTCATCACCAGTCCAGATCATTCAAAACAAATGCCTATTTTTAAAAACTAGAAACACATCCTGCAGAGCCCTCCTGCAGCCACTTTCAAGACACTTTTCACCAGACCCTTCCCTGTATTATTTTCTCTCCACTCTTCAAGGATGGTTTCCAGTAAGCAAAAGTGGAAGTAAACCTGAATACTCAACTATGTATAAAAATCACATTAGCTGAAACAAGACTCTACTAACAGTCTTTGGTAGTGATAGATGTAGGACTGCTTTTATAATAACATGAATAGATAAAAAAAGGGGGGGTAGGTATGAACTTAAATTTAAAAAAAAAATTCTTCATGCATTTATGCATGAAGCTGCCCTACTTATAAAATGAATTATTAGGCACTTCAATATTTAGGCAAAACAAGGCAGTAAAGGATCATACCTCATTTCTAGCTTTTGGACGATCAAAAAGAATTTTCAGTGCAAACCGTTCTTGGGTAGAATTCTTCACACAGACTCTAGATTTGGAGAAAAAATTCAATCAGAAATCATCTATGTAACAGTGAAAACTAACTTAACAACTTTGTTCTTTGAGGATTGTACTTCTAATCAAGAATATATCCAGGTGCATCAGAACAAACTTGCCCCCAAGGCTAGCAGGTGGAAAGGCAGACCAGTATCTGATCCACTCTTCCTAGGCCTCAGCTCCTAAGCCATGTGATGCCAACTTGAGGCCTCTGCTGGCTACAGGTGACTCAGTAGCTCCACAGGATCAGCATCTTAAATGATTCCATGTTACAGAACATGCGATTTGGTCACTTAAGTATATTCCTAAACAGATGAGAAATAGCCTAACATAAACACCTCTACTTGTTAAATTAAGGCTATTTCACAAGTCTGGTACCCTTGATGCTTCTAATTTAAGATGTATTTCAAATGGCCCTTTTCAGAACAATTTTGTCATAATTTGCACATGGGTTTCTTACCTAACTGGACCACTAATTCCAGCTCCCAGTTTCTGAGTCCAGTTGATATTATATTCCTCTAAAATGGAGGTTTCCTATTAAAATAAAAAAGAAAGGGCAGAGAATTCTCCAATTAAAAAGCTGGACAATTAAACAGAGGTAGGACAACAGAAGATCTTATCATTCAATATCTCATCTTCTGAGAGAATCTGATAAACAAAGCTTTCTGTTCTGTAGGGCTTTATAATTAGACATTTTGTTCCAATGACTAGATTAGGCATATTTTCCAACAAGAGCGAAAGCAAAAACTTTAGGTCAAAAAATGTGTTAGCTCATCTACAAGGTCCATTGAAGTAGAACCACTCAATGTCTTGTCTTTGGAGTGTAGAGGTAAAATGCTTCACTACTAAATACTTATTTGCTTAGATGACCAAGTATTTTCTGAGATTCCAGAAAAACTAGTTTTATAAATGCTCCTATGATATAGAGGCGTATATCCTAGAACAAACTGATCAAATTTTTGGAATAACTGAATAAGTCAAGACTTAAATTTTCAAGTAAAATAGCAATAACATCATAGTAAATTTATATAATTTTCAACAGCACCATTTTGAGTACAAAGATATTGTTATATTCATTATATAACTATACTTTTTATATTTTTCAACAAATTTTTCAATAGTTCCACATAGATTCCCTATAGTTTAATGAACGTTTTCATGGAATTCCTGTTTAGTCACTGATATGTTGAGCCTTTGTTGCCTATAAGCAAGAAAGCTATAAAACTTATTTTTCTACATGTAGTTCCACATATAGAACAGGAAACTAACTGCAGACTTTGAGAAATTAGGCCAAAACTCATGAGACTTTAAAATTGTTTTGTTGCAATAAAAATCTGATAAACCATATTTGTCACTAGAATCTTGATTCCCAGTGTATGAGAACAGGTTATTTGTCCATGAAACACACTCATTGTGCAGCTAGTATGTGCCAGACACATGGCTAAATTCAGAGATGAAAACAGAGCTTCTGCCTAATGAATATGCAAGTATATAAGACAAGCTTAGAATAGCCTTCATAGCAATGCTCAATAATCGTGAAATGAATTACTAAAACAGTGTTTGCCAGGGGCTGGTGAGAAAGAGACAATGGGGCAGTTGGTGCTTAATGAATATAGAACTTAGGTTTTACAAGCTGAAGAGTCTGAAGATGGATGGTGGTGATGGTTACACTCCATTATGAATGTATATACTACCAAACTGTACAATTAAAAATGGTTAAGATGGGCCGAAACCGGTTTGGCTCAATGGATAGAGCATCGGACTGCGGACTGAAAGGTCCCGGGTTCGATTCCGGTCAAGGGCATGTACCTTGGTTTCAGGCACATCCCCAGTAGGGGGTGTGCAAGAGGCAGCTGATCGATGATTCTCTCTCATCGATGTTTCTAACTCTCTATCCCTCTCTCTTCCTCTCTGTAAAAAATCAATAAAATATATTTTAAAAAATCAATAAAATATTTTTTTTAAATGGTTAAGATGGTAAATTTTGTTGTATGTATTATACTATTATACAATTTTAAAAAAAGAAAAGAAAAAAGTAAAAGGATGGGAAAAGATATATCACAAGTAACCATAAGAGACCTGGAGTAGCTATACTGACAAAATAAACTTTAAAACAAAAGATGTTAATAGCAAAAGGGAAGCACTTCTTATAATGATAAAAAGGTCAACAGGAAGAAATGTCAATTACAAACATATATACATGCACCTAACAAGAATTCAAAAATAAATGAAGCAAAAATGGACAGAATTTAAGGGAAAAATAGAAAATTCAGAAATACTTGGAGATGTCAATACTCCCCATTCTTCCTGATAGAAAAGCTAGACTGAAAATCAGCAAGCATATAGAAGACAATGTTCTCAACCAACCTGACCTATCTGACATCTACACAGCACCCCACCCAAGAGGGGAATGTATATTCTTTCCAAGTGCACATGGAATAGTCTCCATGTGCTAGATCATAAGTTTTAATACATTTTTAATCATGGAGTAGAGGACAATATTAAGAATGGCAACTGTCCCCAAACCCATTAACAGATTCAAGGGAATCCCTGCCAAAAGGCCAATCAGCCTGCTCTCCGGTAGTCAGACAGTCTAAATTTAAGCTCTAGTTAGAGCCCAGGAAAACAGCTTTCCCAACTGATCTGTTCTCACCACTTGAGGGGCAGCCTCAAAAAGGCAAAACCATGAGCGCTGGCTTGCTTCTACATTCTGGTCAGTACTGCTTGTCAGTTATTTTTAGCTTCACTAATTCGTATTAGTTAGGCACACCCAAATTAGTAGGAAGACTCACCAATGACCTGTCAAGTGTGTGAAGGCTAGCCCACCTGTGTGGCTGTGGTGGAGTATTGATCTTTGAACCAGGAGGTCAAGGTTTGATTCCTGGTCAGGGCACCTGCCAGGGTTGCTGGCTAGATCCCCAGTAGGGGGCATGCAGGTAATTCTCTCTCATCATTGATGTTTCTCTCTCTTCCTCCCTCCCTCTCTGAAATCAATAAAATATATAAAGTATGTGAAAGCTATAAAAAAAAAAATACCTTAGGCAATAATGATCAAGTGAAGAAAACAGCATCTCTTTCTAAACCTCTTAAATTGCTATAAGCTAATATTCACCAAGCTCTTACTAAATGTTAGCTATTGTCATAAGCACATTTAGATATATTTGTTCCTTAAATCCTCAAAAATACCCTATGAGATGGGGAGTGTTTTTTATCTTCTATGGATGAGGAACTAAGGGACAAAGAAGTGAAGTTGACTTAAAGACACAGCTAATGAATGGCAATACTGAGATTTCAACCCATGAGCCTACCTACAGAAATTGTTGAAACCACTAGGTATAATTGCCCCCAGAAATTATTGAAACCACTAGGTAATATAAAATTGTTAAAACCACACACACACATATATGACGGTATCTAGAGGGTAAATTCTAGTGTTAGCTGAAATGTTTAAATCTACTTGCACATGCATAGGACCTGCCTTTAGAGTGTGCTCTGAGTTTTAATGTAGTTGTATTAAGTTGAGCTTAAGTTTATATGGAAACCTTGAACCAAAAGTCTATAATAATGACTAGATATGTAAGTTTATGATGATCTTGATTTCTCTTCAGCTGAGTTCACTCCATCATGTTCCTTCCTAGGTGTTAGATGCTAACAGTGCTTTGAAAAGCAAGCCTGTTCTGCTTTCTCTCTCCAGCTAGCAGCCTATTACTATAGCCTGCAGTATGCCCAACTGGCCACACAATCCAGGGACAAGTGCCATCCTCTTTACAGAGTGAGTCCTTATGGTTTTCACTTTATTAATGAGCAGAGATCAAGTTTTTCTAAAACAGTTAAAACATGGATTTATCTCTCTGGAGATACTGATCTGTCAAAGCAGTCTTTTAGAACCTTTATTTCTATTATTAAAAATTTGATCTCCCTTATACATTATATTTTGATGTATCTTTTAAAAGGTGAAGTTTCTTGGTAATGATTTCTATAAGCTTTACCATCCAAAAATTTGTTAGAAGTTTAAGTTCTTTATCAGTTATTGGTCATGGTGATTGTGTCCTGAAGGGGAAAATACAGTAACCTTTAATTGCCAATGGGTTCCTGTCCCTCAAAAATCCTCATGAAATCCTTAAATATGTTGAGTTGACTTAACATTGTAAAATAGTGAATAACACCAATAGACATTAAGTTTCATGTTCAATTTGTACAAGACTCTAATTTCCTAATTATGGCTAGATAATTTCCTCTTAGTGCCTCAAAGAGCTTTTTAAGAAAAAATAAATCAGGTTTTAGAAAAACTGTCATTTTATTCGGGTCATTTTAGAACACGTAGTAGCTTTTTGTTGTGGTTAACAGAGCAGTAAGTCACAGGACACCGTGATCTCTTCCTAAATAAACTCCGTGCTCCCTAGAAGGAGAAGGGAGAGGAAAAGAGGCAAAGTGGAGGGGAACACACTGAAAAATGAGTACAATCTATTGGCCAAAAGACTGAGTTTGTAGGAAGGCGAACCACCTCCTTCTGAAACTGCAGATTTCCAAGAGGCTAGTTTCAAACAAATCGGAGGGATGGGTAAAGTCCAAGTCTCCAAGTGCTGTTGCAGCAAGCGGATCATCCGGAAGCAACTGCTGGCGGCACTTGGGGAGAGATCGAAAGCAGAGTAGTGAGACCCCCTCCATCCCGTTCACATCAAGTATCTCCAAGCCACTCATCTTCGGTTCCAGGTGAGCACAAACCACACCCCCCGCCTCAACCAGGTGAGACCCCGCCCTCCAGCCCCGACAAGCCCGGCGCCCCAGGGCTGCGAGACGCAGGCCACGGAGTCCGGGGGGGATCGAGACCCCGGGAGTCGCAGGAATCTCACCCCAAGTTCCCTCCGTTTCCTGAAGCCGGAGCCGAGAGGAATGCCACAGGGCAGAGCGGGGAGGAAGGAGGCATCTCCCCCTTACCTTGATGGCTTTCTCCATGTCGCTCTCCGACATGCTCCGCGGGGCCCCTACGGCCGGGAGCGGCGGAGGCTGCGCAGCGGTCCGGGCCCACCGCGGCGAAGGGAGCACGGGGCTCGGCGCCCGGGCCCCTGGGCCTCGGGGAGGGGGGCGGCAGCCGGCCCCGGGGACCGGCGGGGATGAGGACCCCGGCGCCGGCTCGGCAGCGGCAGGCGGCTCTAGGCTGGCGGCGGCGGCAGTGGCGGTGCCGGCCTCTGGGGACAGGCCTTTGTGCTGGGCCCTGCGCGGCTGCTTCCCGGCCTCATCCCCGGCCGGGGACGCAGGCTCCCGCGGCAGGGCGAGGCGGAGAGGGCCCCGAGCTCGAGCGCCGTGCAGGAGCCTCGCCGGGCCGCCGCTTAGGCCCGCGCTCGCCAGGTCCTCGGGAGGAGCCTCCGCCTCCGCCTCCGCCGCCGGCACCGCCGCGAAGCCGCCGCCGCCGCTGCTCCCGCTGCCGCTTCAGCGCCACACATCGCCGGGACACCCGCGCCGGGCAGCCCCGCCCGCCGGCGCCGCGCCCCGCCTGAGCTCCCGGCAGCCACGCCCGCGCCCGCCCCCGCGGCCCGCCGCTCCACGCGCCCCTCGCCGCGGCCCGCCGGGCTCTCCGAGCCGCCGCCCAGCCGCGCGGGGCACTTGCAGGCGCCTGCCGGGGCCTCCCCGAGCGCCGCAGCGGGCCAGGCCCCCGGGCCTCCGCCGCGCCCGCGCCGCGCTGATGACGCCGGGGGCGGGGCTTGGAGAACGGGGGGGCGGGGCTTGGGCGACGCCGAGGGGCTCGCGCAGCGCCTCGAGCGTTCGCGCCTCCGGGATCCGAGTCGCTGGAAACTGCGTGCGGCGAGCACTCGGGATGTCGCCCCGCGGGAGGGCAGCGGAAACTGAAGCCCCGGACGGGCCCCCGGTAAGAGAACGGAGTTGCGACTAATGGCAGCTGTCATGGTTCTCCGTGCGGAGCGTTCATTCTCGTGAAGCTCTTTTCCTCCGTCAGCGCCTTCCTTCGTTACAAAGTGGGCATTGGTCGCCGGGACGAAGCCGGGCACGTCCCTAACCCCGTTGGCAGGTCAGGTAGCCGGGCTCCCGCGCCGCTGAGCCGGGGTCCGGGTTGTGCTCCTTACCTGGTGCCGGCACCTGTCAGGGGCCTGCAGGGCTTTCTGGCTGTGCCTCTGCTCTGGTGGCTCTTGGTTCATGCAATCATTCACTGAGCTCCGCGTGTGCCGGGCCTAAGGACTCGGGGGGTGGTCAGTAGGAAAAGAAAGCGGGAAATAAACAGGGGGAAACGCTGGGGAGAAAGTGAACAGGGAACTGAGGTAAGGTGACTGGATGTGGGGACTTTTCCCTATTAGCTGGTCAGGGAAGGTCCCTCAGGAGGTAACGGGGAAGCTGAGGCCTCTGAAGAACTGGAAGGCTCTGTGTGTTGGAACTACAAGAAGGAGATTTCTGGGCACATGGAACAGCAAGCGCAAAAGTCTTAAGGCGGAAGTAAGCTACATGTGTTCAAGCAGCAGCAGGAAGGTCATTCATTGTAGCCGGAGACAGGGAGCTGTGCGGGAGGGAGTGATAAAAGCTGAGATTGGAGAAGTGGATGGGCTGTATCGTATGTATCTTTAGGAGTCACGGTAAGGAGTGTGGAATTTATTCTAAGCCATTGGAAGATTTTTAAAGTACAGAGTGATGTTCTTATGTTTATGTTTTAAAAGATCACTCTGCTGTATACAGAATGAAATATTGGGGGGGGGGGGCAGGAATGAAGACAAGGAGGGCTATTCAGAGGCTATTGGAGCCCTGGCTGGTTTGGCTCAGTGGATAGTGTGTTGGCCTGCAGACTGAAAGGTCCCGGGTTTCATTCCCGTTGTGGGCTCAATCCCGAGGGGGGGGAGGGTGATGTTTAGGAGTCAGCTGATCAATGATTCTCTCCCTCTCCCTTCCTCTCTGAAATCAATTAAAAAAAAATTTTTTTAAAGAGGCAATTGGATGAGGTAGAGTTTCACTTTACACACTGAGAAAGGCTTAGACTAGAGATCCAAAGCAGTCAGGTAAAGAAATTCTCTTTTTTTCTCTCTCTTTCAAATGAAGCTTCTTCCAAATTGGTTGTCCAGATGTCTACTATCAACTTGAATTTTAATTAGAAAATTTAAAGTTCCAATGTCATGTGTAAAAAAAAAAAGAGAGAGAGAGAGAGAGAGAGAGAGAGAGAGAGAGAGAAAAGAAAAAAGGCTATTGGAGCCCAAGAGGGTGTGGCTCAGTGGTTGTGTATGAACCCAGGAAATAAGTCACTGGTTAGGTTCCTGCTCAGGGCATATGCCCAGGTTGTAAGCTCAATTCCCAGTAGGGGGCATGCAGGAGGCATCAGTTGATGATTCTCTCTTATCATTGATTAGAGGCCTGGTGCACAAAATTCATGCATGGTTAAGGTCCCTAGACCTGGGGCCTTTCTTCATTCCACACCACCCCCTGGTGGACAGCATCATAGCGAGCTATCGAACTCCTGGTCCAACTCCTGAGGGGACACTTTGCATATTAGCCTTTTACATATATATAGACAGATAGACGTGTGTCTCTCTCTCTCACGCTCCCTCAATGAAGAAGGTGACAGGATTAGCCAAAGAACATATATGCATAACCCAAGGACACAGACGACGGTTTGGTGATGACCAGAGGGAAGGGGGCCACGGACTGGGTGGAGAGGGGCAAAGGGAGGGATGGGGCCTGCAGGGCTTTCAACAAAAAGAATAAAGTCTTTTTACGGCACAAAGATTTGGAGTAATTTGTCATATAACATAGATAACATAATACAGATTTTTGGTTCCTGGAGGTGGGGTACTGTCATAACTAACTAAAATGTGGGAGTAGTTTGGAACAAGCTATGGACAGAGACTAAAAAAATCTTGAGGAGTGTTTAGAAAACCTAAATTATCTTTAACAAACTTAGAAATCTGGACTTTGAAGATGCTGCCAGTAAGGGCTCAAAAGGAAGTGAGGGACACATTATTGGAACTGGAGGGAAAAGGATCTTTATTACATAGTGGCAAAAGATTTAGCCACACTGTCATCTGTATGTGGAAAGAGAAAGTGTTTGTTTGGTTTTTTTAAATATATTTTATTGATTTTTCACAGAGAGGAAGGGAGAGGGATAGATAGCTAGAAACATCGATGAGAGAGAAACATCGACCAGCTGCCTCCTGCACACCCCCTACCGGGGATGTGCCCGCTACCAATGTACATGCCCTTGACCGGAATCAAATCTGGGACTTTTCAGTCCGCAGGCCGACGCTCTATCCACTGAGCCAAACCGGTTTCGGCAAGAAAGTGTTTCTAATAAACTGAGTAATCTAAGGCAGTATCTAAGCTGAAGGTGCTGCCTATGGTAAAATGTAAGGAGAGAAATGACTTATTAAACAATAAGGAACCAGAACTTGATAGTTTTGAAATTTTTAAGTCCCTAGATGGCAGCCAATACCGAAATTAAGCAGTGGCTTTACAGCAAAGTCAAACCCAGGATACCACAAGGAAAATGTGGTCTGTCTTGGTCTGCTCAGGCTGCTGTAACAGAATAGGCCCCCCCCCCAAAAAAAAACAAACAAACATGTCCTTCTTACATGCAAAACACATTCCCAACACTCCAAAAGTCTTAACTCTCCAGGATCAACTCTCAAGTTCAGAGTATCTACATATTCTCTAAGTCAAATGTGCATGAAACTCTACATATGATTCATCATGAAGCAAAATTCCTCTCTAGCTGTGAACCTGTAAAACAGATTATGTGCTTCCAAAATGCAATTATGGGACAGGCATAGGATAGACATTCTCAGTCTAAAAGGGAGAAATTAGAAGGTAGGTAGGGGTTGTGGGTTCCAAGCAAGTCCAAAACCCAACAAGGCGATCACCATTAGATCTGAAGGCCCAAGATCTATACACCAGGCAATACACCGAGGTTGTGGGTTCAATCCCTCGTCGGGGCACATACAGTAATCAACCAATGAATGCATACATAAGTGGAACAATAAATCAATCTCTCCTCTCTCCTATAAAATTATTTTTAAAAAGAAGAAGCTGCCTGGTGATGCAGATGCTGCCAGTTGATTCTGGACGAGTCTGATGGAGTGTAGACATCTCCAGGATGCCCATCACCAAGCAGCAGCTGCTTAGGGAATGGATGTAACCACAAGTGAGTGTCATGTGACCCCCATCTCCCGGTCACAGTTGACTGACTTGGGAATGGACATCAGACCCTAGCTGATCCATAAGAGTCTCCTGCGAATTGACACTGGAACATATAACCAGTTGTAGATTGTGTTGTCCAGGCAGAGGTAGTCACTGTTGGCCTCATGAATATTAAAGTGGAGAAGTCAGTCTTCAGAGAGAGGAGAGGAAAAAGGAGCAGTGTTCCTGTCTCTCTGCACTTCCTGTCCCACATCCTCCACCCCTCCAAAAATCTTATTTGATATTTAGAGTGGCGTCCGCCGGGACCGGTTTGGCTCAGTGGATAGAGCGTCGGCCTGCGGACTGAAAGGTCCCAGGTTCGATTCCGGGCAAGGGCATGTACCTTGGCTGCGGGCACATCCCCGGTGCGGGGTGTGCAAGAGGCAGCTGATCGATGATTCTCTCTCATCGATGTTTCTAACTCTCTATCTCTCTCTCTTCCTCTCTGTGAAAAATCAATAAAATATATTAAAAAAAAAAAAAAAAATAGAGTGGCGTCCGAATGCCACCGAGTGGTCACTGGTTTTTTAATGAACATTTAAGTTGTTTGAAGTTTTCTGCTGTTAAAAATGGTGCTCTTGTCGACCATCATAGCTCAGTGGTTGGGTGTTGACCAGTCCTCAGTAGGGGGCGTGCAGGAAGCAGCCAATGATTCTCTCTCACCATTGGTGTTTCTGTTTCTCCCCATCTCCCTTCTTCTCTGAAACCAATTTAATATTTAAAAATAGTGCTCTTTCCTAACATGCTTTGTGCACTTGTCCAGTTTGTTCTCTTGGATAAATCTTTAGCAGCGGATTCCTACTGGA